TAAAATGGTGTATCTGAGTTTGATTTTGGTTGGTCATGTGTTGGAACTGAAAGGAAGCACGGTGGATTGATTTAAATAATTGATTTTAATCATGAAAGCAGGAAACCTTGATTTAAATAATTGATTTGAATCTTGTTTTGCATTTGTACTTTTAAGTTATTTTCCAAAAGTCAATTTATTCTTTTTGGTTGTATAGCCATTAGAACATGCTGGTTTGCAATCAAATATAGCATTTACACAAAATTTGATACTTATTTTTGCAAACCAGGAGGATAGGCTGTATCTATACATATTTATTTAAGCAATTATATAGCTTAACATACATTTATTCAGTTTCTTAGTTTTTACATTTTTATGTTAGAAAATAGTGAATGGTACATTTCTTATTTACTAGATGCTTTTAAAAATCATGATTGGTATCAAGCTGCATTTGGATGAAAACTGGAATGAAAATTAAAAATTGTACAAAATTTTTTAAAATTATTTTATTAGTTAAATAAAACTATCTGAAATGTCCTGGATACATATTTTTTCTCTTATTAAAACCTATTTTCATTTAAAATTAAATGATATATTAAACAAATGAAATATTAATGGCAGTTAGTGAAATAACAGATTGTTTCCTGTCAACACAGGCCACATTTTCAAAGGTATTTTGGTGCCTAAAGATTGGCAATTCTGAAAATACCATTAGACCCTAACCTGCTTAAGTATCTAACTCACATTGAAATCAATGGGAGTTATGTGCCTAGACTGTTACAGGACTTTTGAAAATCCCATTTACCACCTATCTGCATTTTTAGTTGCCTAAATATCTTTGAAAATCTGGCCCCATGTCCTTCAGAATTTTGGAATTAGTAGATCTGATATTTTCCCACCTGGTTTTAATTTGGTGCTTGGAAGAGAAAAACAAATTTTCATGGTTGTTTCCTCATTGGTTTCTTGAGTTCAAACTAGTCCAAATGAGTAAATAATTTAATCTTCACCTGCTGGCTAAACTGAACCCAAAAGTAATTAAGACAAAATCTTTTCTGCATAACAGAAAATGAAAGTAACTACATTTGGAAAAAAATGTAAATACCACTATTTGCTCCACTGTATAGAGTGAGAATAATATAATTAATGTAGTATATGACATTGTGACATTTATAAAGGTTGAGTAGACTTCAAAAGATAAGGTTTCTCTCTCACTCTGTATGTAACTGTATGTAAAAAACAGAACCCTTTAACTCATTACAATTTGAAAGGGGGACTCATTGATGCAACATATTATTGTTTTTATTTATTTAAATGATTTTTAATAAATGTTAGTAAGTTTTACCCTTAACATAGGTTGTCACAGTTTCAAATTTAATTTTAAAAAAAGTACTTCATTGAAATTTTAAAAGTCCAGTTTAAATTTAAAAAATTGACTTTTTTTATGTATCATCAATTTTTATCCACCCTGATAGGGAGTTTGCTGTAGAAAGGAGTAAAAGTGTGCTTGAGTATTATGAAATTAAAGTGGTGATGAATGCAAGTTTAGGTCGGTATAGATGAGAGATTGGATTAACAGGTGATTTCCTAGATTTTAGTGATTGGGTTGATAGCAAATGCATCTTGAGTGAATTTAACTGTAAGTTAAAGAACTTCTTTGGGTAGAAATGTCTCATTGTTTTCAAAAGCTATATATACAAATCAAAATACATACTGAAACAAGGCCAACATTTTCAAAAGGGGCCATTCCTTTTGGGTTTATGATGTTAGAGCCATTCAGTTTTTGGAGGTCAGAACAGACAGGATCTCTTTTGCACAACTGCTGAACTAAGTAGGACAGGTGGGTGAAAAGAACAGCGGTGTCCAGACAAATAGTCCAAATTATAGAAGCTACATGTGCTATTGCCAATTTGCTCAGAACCAGCCAAACATCAAAGTTTTCAGGAATGAACTGTCTTATTTTTTTAAAAGCTAGGAAAGTCCATACAAATAAGTGAAGAAAACACTCAGAATTCAGGTTTCAGAATGGTAGCCGTGTTAGTCCATATCAGCAAAAAGAATGAGGAGTATTTGTGACACCTTAGAGACTAACAAATTTATTTGGGCATAAACTTTTGTGGGCTAAACCCACTTCATCAGATGCATGCAGTGGAAAATACAATAGGAAGATATAGCTATCTATATATACAGATATAAATATATATATAGAGAGAGAACATGAAAAACTGGGGGTTGCCATACCAACTCTAACGAGACTAATCAATTAAGGTGGGCTATTATGAGCAGGAGAAAAAAACTTTTGTAGTGATAATCAGGATGGCCCATTTCAAACAGTTGACAAGAAGGTGTGATTAACAGTAGGGGAAAAATGAGCATGGGGAATTAGTTTTTAGTTTGTGTAATGCCTCTCCACTCCCAGTCTTTATTCAAGCCTAATTTAATGGTGTCCAGTTTGCAAATTAATTCCAAATCTGCAGTTTCTCGTTGGAGTCTGTTTCTGAAGTTTTTCTGTTGAAGAATTGCGACTGTTAGGTCTGTAATTGAGTGTCCAGGGAGGTTGAAGGGTTCTCCGACTGGTTTTTGAATGTTATAATTCTTGTCGTCTGATTTGTGTCCATTTATTCTTTTGCATAGAAACTGTCTGGTTTGGCCAATGTACCTGGTAGAGGAGCATTGCTGGCCCATGATGGCATATATCATATTGGTAGATGTGCAGGTAAACGAGCTCCTGATGGTGTGGCTGATGTGATTAGGTCCTATGATGGTGTCCCCGAATAGATATGTGGACAGAGTTGGCAACGAGCTTTGTTGCAAGGATAGGTTCCTGGGTTAGTGTTTTTGTTGTGTGGTTGCTGGTGAGTATTTCCTTCAGGTTGGGGGCTGTCTGTAAGCGAGGACTGACCTGTCTCCCAAGATCTCTGAGAGTGAGGGATCGTCCTTCAGGTTAGGTTGTAGATCCTTGATGATGCCCTGGAGAGGTTTTAGTTGGGGGCTGAAGGTGACGGCTAGTAGCGTTCTGTTACTTTCTTTGTTGGGCCTGTCCTGTAGTAGGTGACTTCTGTGAATTCAGTTAAACACTCACATGCCAGGAATTTGATACAGTTAATGTTATTCTGCTGCCTTGTGATAGTTTTTTCAGTTAACTGCCTCTTCCCCTAAAATCTTAAATGCTACCCAGGGAAAGTACTGGACAGGGAATTTGTCAATAAAGATATACAGAGCCATTAATTGTGATAATGACATTAGTTTATATATAAGAAGATGGGGAAAATGCAAGGTATCACACCTACACAAACTTGTAGACAAAACTGTATAATATATTCAATATTACATGAACATGTAACAAAAATATATTGTAACCTGCAATACATAAGGGGACAGTATTAAGGCTTCATCTGCAACCAGTGCCAGCCCTGCTAATTTGCATGTATGCGACAGTGAAGTCAAGTCTTTGTGTGAGTAAAATTATATATATGTGTTTGCTGGCTAAACCTCTGTGGCATTTTTTGACTTTTTAATGCTTACTGTGGAACCTTAAAGAATGTGTGTGAATTTAAATTTGGCACAACATTAAAATTTTGTATAAAGATAAAGCTTTTATAAAAACTAGGACCAATAAACGTGTTTCCACAATAAAAAAAATCCATTTAAAAACATTTGTATTTAAACAAACATCTCCTATGCAATGTTTGAAATCTAAATAAGACATCAGGGAAAGTGAAACCGACTATAAACAAAATAAACAGACTTTCATTGTCAAAGCCAGAAATATGCAAGAAATAGAGAATGAATAGTGACCGGTAAATTGAATTTTAAAAATTCTTTCACTTTTAATAGTACCCAGTCTTGCAAACACTTAAGCAAGCACATGCTTAATCTTACTCTCATCAGTAGTCACACTAAAGTTAATGAAACTAAGCTCCTCGGACCTGGAATGGTCTTTTTGTGCTGTGTTTGTACAGCATCTGATGGTAAGTTAAATATTAATAATAATACCCTCGAAAGTGGGTATTAATAACTAAAGTAAAGCAGCTGCAGAAATGATTGTAGGATTAGGGGTCTAGAGTTTTAGCAGCAGCCTACATAAAAAAATTTGTTTACAGCCTGGCATTTTTAGTGCATGGAAACACGTAAGACGTTTTAATATCTTTTTGGGAAGGACTGTTTGCTGTACTTAGAGGCTGGCATACACATTTGCAGTTTTGCTGTTTTTACATAAAAATGCGTGGCCTGGAACCAATTCTTCCTGCTGCCAGGATCTCCGTTTAAAAAAAAAACAACAATACTAGTTTTGGTTGCTTTTCTTCTCCCCCCCCCCCAGCTTTTGGTGGCTCGGAATCACACCAGCCCAGTGCATGTGGGGAAGGTGGAGACTGGCTCAGCTGTCAAAGGGCCAGGGCTTCAAGGAAACTGCGCAGCACGGCACGGGAGTGCGGATTAACTACTGTGTGGGATGTGTCCCCGACTCGTGGTGCGTTACGCTGTGTTAATCACCCGCATCAGTCAGTCTTCCGAGGGGGCGCTAGGAGGCACGAACCTCTCCGCACTTTTTCCTGGACGGTGCCGCGGCTGCCCTGGCGAGCGGCAGCCGAGGAGCAAGTTAATGAGGGTTTGGGGCCGTGCTGGACCGTGGGCTTCCCAATCCCCCAGCTGAGGAGAACTTTTCAAGCCTTCTTGCCGGGGACCCAGGCGCACGGCAATCAACCCGGTTTTGGGGAGGGGGGAAACCCCCACGCCTTTTCCTCTCCCCCCCCCCGCAGCCGCTGAGCTCGCCGCCCACCCCCGGAGCTGCAGCCCGGGCAGCACTCGCCCTCTAGCGGGGGCCAGGCGGCAGCGGCGGCGCTGGTGGCTGGGCGTGACTTCAGCGCCGTCTTTAGCCCGCCTGCCGGGGGCACCGCGAGGCAGAGAGGGAGGCGAGCGGAGCGCCGGGCGAGGAGGCTGCAAGGGCTGGGGCTGGAGGAGGCGGGGACGGGACTCCCAGGCGCAGGCAGCGGCGGGACTGAGAGGCTGCGCTGCAACCCCCCCCCCCCACTTCTCCCGAAACAGGAAAACAGCGCCCCAGAGCGAGCCCCTCCCCGCCGCCGCACCCCGCCCGGCTCCAGCCTGCCCCCGGCAGCCGGCTGGGCGGGAGTGGGGCGCCTGCGAGCTCCCAGCTGCTTTGCCCCTCGCGGAGCCGCGGGGGGAGACATGGGGAAAGTTGGAACTTGCCTGCTGACTTTGGCTGGACTTTTGCTGGCAGCCGGAGCGGAGCCCTTCACAGGTAAGAGGAGCCTCCCCATCTCCGCCCCCAGTGTCCCGCTGCCTGGGAGGCTGCGGTGGGGAGCTGGTTTGCCTGCGGGGAGTGAGCCCGGGAGCGGTGGTGGACGCGAGCCCAGCCCCGGGAGCCAAGGGAGAGGGCGGAGGGAGCTCCGCGCCGACCGGTCCCGTTAGACCAGCGAGGGGAAGGTGTTGAGTTGTTTGGAGTCAAGTGGGACCCCTGGCGCACCGCATCTAGAGGCGGTGGCGGCGGGGGGGAGCGGGGTGTTACATTATTGTATTACTGGGGGGGATCTTCTTTTCCTTGGAGTCTTTCCAAGTTTCCTGACGCCCGAAGTTACTTGGAGGGGGCGGGGGGGGGGGCGTGAGGGGAGCGTAAACGGGCCGTGTCTCTTCCAGGGCGCATCCTGGCCGGGCATGAGTGCTACGAGGTGCCAGGCAAGGGTGCAGCACGCGGCGCTTAGCGGAATGCTGGCAGCCGGCTGGGCTGGGGCCGGGCCCGGGCCGGGAGGGAGGCGGGCAGGGCTTGCTCGCGGAGTGGGTTGGAGTTACAATGGGCAGCCGAGCAGTCGCTGAAAATGTGGGAGAAAGAGAACTTTGGGTTTCCACCAGACAGGGCTGAGAGCCGCCCCCTACCTCCAGAAAACAACGGACAGAGGGGCAACAGCAGCGTCCCAGCACTGCCCCCCCATCGCTCTTCCTCCTCCTCTCCCATCAGTTTGTCCCGTCATCAAAGCTGAAGCTTCATTATTAACTCTAAAAATTCGCACTGCGTTTAAGTGCGAGCGTGCAGTGACAGCGGGTGATCAGTTTAAAAAGCGGGGGACGGCCCCTTTTTAAAAGCACAGAAGAGTCTTCAGCCTATAGTGAAAACCCTAGGAAAGGGGGGAAACGGTGCGTGTCCTAGACATGCCAGGTTTTTACATCCATGGTGCAGCTCCAGAAAAGAATTCCTATTGATGCATGTCCTTTTTTGTTTTTAATTGCAATTTTAGGTTTGCCCTTCAGCATCTTCATTGGTCTGTGTTTTTCCTTCCCCATCCATAACAAAATCCGTCATATATTTTAAAATGTATATTAAAGAAACCTATAATTCTGGGTGGAAAGTTGGGTTGTGAAACAGTTTTGTACATTTATTTAGCAGGCATGAGTAACATCAGATCTTTTTTTATCTTGAAATTAGTGCATCTAAGACATCTGGTCTTCACTTCTTGCTAAATGTGCTTTCTGGTAGGGAGTAGTACTCTCTGCTAGTCTTATTTCTGAGGTTGCTGGGTGGTTTGTATTTTGTACCTTACATGTTGCTTGTATGCAGCACATAGTACAGCCAAGTTTTGTGCTTAAAGGATTTTTTTAAAAATAAACTTATTCTGGTTCAGTGTTACGTTTCCGGGACACTGTATATTCAGGCTGTTTTTTCTCTCTCTCTTTTGAACATGTGCTCATAAGCCAGAGGGTTCGTTAGTGGGGGGGAAACGTTCCAGAGGATTGCATTAAGATGATATCTCTTCCAGTAATCTTGTTAGGATGAGGCTATCCTCAGCAGTGAGTTATAGAACTGAACTCATGTATATTAGTGCTATAACTCATTAATGTTGGAAATCTAGTGTTCAGACTTGATAAAATCATAGAAGTGCAGGGCTGGAAGTGACCTCAAGAGGTCATCAAGTCCAGCTCCATGCGCTGAGGCAAGATCAAGTAAATATTGACAAGAAGTCTCTAATTTTTATGGTGTCTCTAATTTTATTTTTATTTTATTTTTATATTTATTAATATAAAGCCATAATGTGCTCCCTACCTCCATGATCTTATCACAGTTTGTTTCAAGTTAAACTAGGGCAACTATCCTTTTGTTGACTTTTTAATTTAGTTGCATGCAAGGATGGGTTAATACTTGCATTAGGGTAAAAATTTAAGTGCTGTTCATCTTGCTTTAGTATTATTGTTGTAGCTCTTGGTTATAGTATTAGTTTACATTACCACATGCTGAGAAGAAGAGCGTGATGTGGAACACAAGCAGTTCAGAAATGTCTTAATGTTGCTTTAATGTCCTATGTATATAGTTAGTTCAACTGTATAATTGTATAACACTCTCTGTGAACTGGCTGGGTTTTGGAGTGTTGAATGAAACGTTTTTTAAAAATTTAATGGGCCAATATAACTGAGCACAGAATTTGGCCTACTCTGTATGGTTATTTTTTGTTTATATGTAAAGGTAATGCATAAATTACCATGCACTTGCTAAGAACAAAATTGATGCATTTTTCCATTGTGATACTGCACCATAAAAAGTGACTGGGGGTTATTTTTGCTCTTTGTATGCCCTGGGAAAAAATGGTTGCTGTTGCTTTTGTTAAAAGCTTGGTGCATCAGTCCCATTGACGATTTGTTTGTCTGAGTTTTGTAGTTGCCTATCTCCTGCCACAAAAGTGAACTATGTGGTCAATGCTATTTAAAAAAGCAAAGAAACCATCTTTTAAGCAAAGAATAGCAATTGGCTGAAAAAGTAATCTTTGCAAGTTATACTTTTATCTTTATTTTTGCACTGACTTATTTGTACAGAAGTTTGTTCTAATGTTGTCTTCAGGTGTTCATCTTCTTATCTGGGAACTAATCACCAGGAAAAAGCAGATCTTTTTGTTGTTTAAAGTCTTGACACTTTCAAGTAATCTTTTGATATTAGCTTAACAGTTAATAAAAATGGGGTTTTCTGTGGAGGTCTTAATTGATGAATCTGAAATTCTAGGTTCATCAATTCAAGATGACAATGATCTTAAGAACTAAAACTCAGGAAACAATAATGAAGATTTCTGATTAAAAAGAAAACACTGGTTATTTGGAGCAGTTGAAAACAAACCTAGGATTGTTAGGCAAAAGCATGATGTAAATGGTGTATTAGTCCTTACAGTAGTCTTTTTTGAGAAGCACTTTAATTTTTAAAATAATTACTTCCCTTAATAATTTAACAGGTTTTTCTTCTTCATTTTAGTTTGACTGTGTATTTAATGGCCCTTTATGAAGACTGATTTCTAAAATTATAAAAGTTTGTAAACGCTAAGATGTGGTTATATGAAATCCTAATTTGAATTCATAGTATTTCTTCTTTCATCTCTTTGGTAGATTACTCATACTAGAAAACACAAGCTATTTCTGAAAATGATATAGGTCAAGCAAAAATATGATGCAAGCTGAAGAGTTACAAGTGGTGATGTAAGCCTAAATGTCACCTTTTATATAAAATGAAAGGTCTAGACACGATGAGCTCTGTCAAATATAAAAATGCTTAATTGAAATTGAAGGTAGAGAGACGTGTAATAAAATTCAAAATCGATGCATTTTTATAAAAGCATCACATTTCTGATAAAACTAAAATACACGCATCCTTCTAAAATTGGTGCTTTTTGCTTCTAATGCAAGCTTGTCCTAGAGAGGCCTATTATTAGATTGTACAGTTCTGTTGTTGTTGTAGAAACTGACAGTAAAGTTGTATGTCAACTAACTTTTTACCTGTAATTGTTTTTTCACCTCTATCTGATGAGTCCAACTGCAATTTAAAAACAACAACAAAAAGTCTGGCTGAAAGGTATGTGTAAGTAGGTCGGGGTAACTTATATGGTGCCAGTACTAACTATGGTTATGAGGAAAATAACTTGAAATAAAGAGCCTTACAAAAATTGGAAATTATTGCCTTTTATATCGTATTTTCAGTTCTTTGGGCAGGGACTATGTAAATAGGAATCTCAAATTTTTCACAATAAAATCTGCAACAATACACAGTAATCTGCACTCATAAGGGAACAGTTGGTTCACTGGGCTTTAAACTTCATACGGATAGTACTGGTTTGGTCACTGAAAAGATGGAAGGTATGCTCAGATCCAGAGGTGCTCTCGTAGCTGAAATTAAAATTCTGGTACAGTGAAATATGTAGATGTTGATAGAACATTAACCTGATTTAAGATTTTTTGATTTTGTAAATTAGGCCAGGCCTACACTTGGAAGGCTTTACTAGTATGCTATACCTGCACAGCACTTCTGCTTTGGATGCAGCTTATACTGGCAAAATTGCACTTCTGCCAGTATAACTTATCCCAATCCTGTGCCCGCTTGCCCCTCTTCCCACTCCTTATAGGGGAAATAAACTATACCAGCAAAAGTGTTGTTCTACCAGTAAAACCGTGTCTATGCTAAGGGTTTCTGCCAGCTCAGCTATGTCATTCAAAGATTGCATCTCACTACATACACCCTGGCCGACACAGCTGTGCCTGCAAAGGTTTGTAGCGTAGACCAGGCCTCAGTAAACCAAACCCAAGCCATTGCACTCTAGGGTCCCGCTGCTGTTAACATTAACTCAGGAGTCACATGTGTAATCTCATTGATTTCAGTGTGGCTACTCATGTGAGTAAAGTTGCAACTGTATGTAAGAATTTGGAGGATCAGGCCCCAAGTGCATAATTATTTTAAAAAAATTGAAACCATAAACAAGTGATCTTGAGTGAAATAAACATAAATACATCTTTAGCTTCCCTGTAAACTGAAACAATGCTTGTGATGTTTCATATTAAATAATTATTTAGGTATTAAGCTTTAATATTTTACGTGAAAGAGGTATTTCTAGAAAAAGGAAGTGTTCGTATTTTTCTAACTGTTATTGCCATTTTTACCTTGTGTGCATATTGTAAGTTAGTAATAAAACCATATCAGGCTAACTTTTGTGTTATTTATTAAAAATTAAAGCTTTTCTGTTAAGTCATTGATTAAGATGGTGGTATTAGTATGGTAATATAATGGGAGAAAGTATACCCTACAGGATATTACAAGGAGGTTATGACATTGAAAAATTCCTATAATGTCTCTTTGGTCTCACAATTAAATAATCAGAATCCATGGGAACAAAAATTACAGTTTCTTGAAACAACCCAGCAGGATATAATATTTTTGAAAATAGTATTTTTAATGCTCATGGAAGCTGCTAGATTGACAGCAGTAGGGACTGAATCCTCCGT